ACCCGTTGCAAATTTTAGTTCAGTAATAATTATCGTCAGTAATAAAACTTCAGTAGCCATACAAATGTAATTGAATTCCTTTTTTTTTTTTTTTTGAGCTGTAGTTTTTTTTGTTTTAATTAGAACCATTAGTTATTAGGTTATATTTTTAATTGTGTATTCTTAATCATAGATTATTAAAGTTTTATGTACCCATATATATGTACATTTCATATAGACCCATATATATATACATATATGGGTCTATATGAAATGTACAATTCAGAAAGTTATATATCATATATTTAAATTTATATATCGCAAATATAAATGCTTAATAACATATATAAATAAAAAGTTTTTTTTAAATCTAAAAATAGCATACATACTTATAAATGTATATATGGTATAAACATATATAAATAGAACTTATGTGCCACATATAAATGAAAAATGAACTTGTAAATGTAATACTTAATAAACATATAACAAATATATATTTAATATAAACATATAAAACATTAATATTGAATAAAAATAAATTTACTTATTGAAAAATTCCCATATTTATAGCAAAAATGTACATTGTTTAAAGTTGCAGCCACACAATTCTTATTTTTTACAATTCCGTGATATTTGCTTGTCTGATTTCATAATATATAACAGATGATGATACGTAGATTTTTTAAGCTTAATAGAGCTGACTTCTTTTTTAGGCTTAACATTTACAGTTTATGGTGAAAAACGGCTCTTAACTTCACTCTTTGATTTTGGCAAAAAAAACAATAGCAATAAATAATTCTTCAACATATACTATTGAGTATTCAAAAAACTGTTGTATCATAATCTATTTTAAAAAATATTATCGTTTGGGTTGATTATGAAAATCAATACTAATTAATGAATTAATAAAAAACTAATTTTCTATAAATATTAAACAATGGTTGTTAAAAATTATTGAATCACAATTGATTGTTAATAATTTTTCTTGTTTTGATTTTTTAGATTTTATAAACTATATGAAAACCACATCTATTGTTGCTATAAATAGTCAGTATCGAAATAGTCAATATTCATCTCATCGATTGTTATTAAATTTTTTGGTTTTGACTTTCAGATTTCAGAAACTACAGCGAAACCGCATATAATACATATTCCAGAAACTACAACAAACCACATATAATATTGTGTGCTCAATACAAAAGTACAGCCATTATACATATATATATATATATATATATATATATATATATATATATATATATATATATATATATATATATATATATATATATATATATATATATATATATACATATTAGTAAGAAAACATCAATTAATACGAATTCTCTTAATACAATTAATAATTTATTATTAGAAATTTTCGTTGGATTATGGTTACCAGCATCGCCAGCTCGTAAAAATTCTACAATAAAATTTTTTTGTAACGTTAGAAACAGTTTAATATTAACTGACGTCAGCAGTTGAATGGCTTCTTTCTTGCTTACGTAAAAGTGTAAAAAACGGAGACCAAAATTTAGTTTTCACTAACTGCCCGTTATCTAAATTAATTTCGCCATGTAAAAGTGAACATTGGAACCTCTGTATTTCTAGAGCTTCACGCACTTTTCGATCAAATTTTTTTGTTTCAACTTTAACTGTTTTTACGTTTTTCCACTTTATTTCTTGTGAGCAAAACTTATAATGGGTGGCTATTGCCAACCTTACAAAAGAAAATACGAGTTTAAAGTTTACAGAAAGGAAGCCATGATTTTATAATTATTTTTTTGACAGTAAATGCTATGTATGAATTAGCTTTTCTAGTCAAAAAAAATAATTATAAAATTATGGCTTTCTTTTTGTAAACTTTAAACTCGTATTTTCGTATTAAGTGTCTTTTAAACCCCTGGATAACCAAGGGACTTATAAAATCATCAAAGAAAAAACAAAAACTTTATGAAAAATTTTTAAAGCGTAAAACATATAAAAATGAAACAAAATACAAAAACTATAAAAGCTTATTCCAAAAAACAAAAAAACACTCTAAAAAAATTTATTATGCAAAGTTGTTGGAAAACACCAACGGTGACACTAAAAAAACGTGGAATACAATTAAACAAATAATTGGTAAAAATAAATGCGAAAAAAAATCTCTCTCAAAAGCTTTTAATTGACAGGGAAATGATTGATGATAAAAAAAATAGCTGAAAAACTAAACTCATTTTTTCTCGAGATTGGGCCAAACTTGGCGAGTAAAATTCCGCCTAGTACCACAAATTTTAAATCTTATATTAAATCGTGTAATTTTATCATGGAAGAACCGAATTTAAATCTAAGCGAGATTTGGAATGCTTTTAATAGTCTTAAAAGTAATAAAAGTGCAGACATTGATAAAATCAGCATGAATGTTGTTAAGTGAGTCTTCGATGTTATTGAACCGTCATTATTTCATATTTTTAACCTTTCATTAAAACTAGGTGTTGTGCTAAAAAAACTTAAAGTTGCCATTATTACTCCAATTTTTAAATCGGGTGACAAAACTAATGTTTCAAACTACAGACCTATTTCCGTCTTACCTTCCTTCTCAAAATTAATGGAACGAATTATGTACAACAGACTTTAAAACAATTTGATGTTAAACATTTTTCTGTACAGTAAACAATTTTGATTTAAAAAAGATCATTCAATTAACCATGCGGTAATCGAACTGATTAACCATGTATCAAATGCACTCAATAATGATTATTTTACTTTAGGAGTTTTTATTGATCTGTCAAAAACTTTTGATACTGTTAACTAAAAAATACTTATAAAAAACTAGAACTCTATGCAGTAAAAATAAAAACTTACTTTGGTTAGATGATTACCTGGCAAACAGGTCATAATATATTATTTACAGAAAAAATGAAAAACAAAAAAACACTACATGTGGTGTGCCCATAGGTTTAATGTTAGGACCACTATTATTTTTATTGTATATACATGATTTATACTTAGCATCATATACTTTAAATGTTATATTGTTTGCAGACGACTCCAAACTTTTTTATTCCAACAAAAACATAAAAGTTTCATATAATATATTTAATGAAGAACTATTAAAAATAAACGAGTGATTTACAAGTAATAGATTTTCTTTAAATGTAGAAAAAACTAAATTTATTTTATTCTCTAAAATTTGTAAAAGTGACAATATTCCTTTAAAATTACCCATCAATCAATAAAATATTTATTAAAATGGAAACAATCGTTAAGTTTCTAGGAGTAATACTAGACGAAAATTTGTCATGGAAGCCTCATATAAAGTATATAGAAAATAAAATCTCAAAAAATATTTCCATAGTATATAAAATAAACCATTTCTTAACACTGCTTCTTTAAAAAATATATACTTTTCATTTATTCATAGTGCTATCTCTTACTATTATACCGTATGGGTTAGTACTAACTATGGTAAATTAAAATAACTTCATAGTATGCAAAAACACGCTTGCAGGATTATATTTGGTGCACACAGAACTATTTATTGCAAACCTCTTTTAAGGAAGCTTTGTGCCTTAAGTGTCTATAAACTTAATATACACCAAGTTCTACAATTCATGTTTAAAACAAAACATGAACTCTCTCCTATTGTTTTTCAGTCTTACTCTAGTGAAATCTCGCACAAGTATTCTACTAAATTTTTAAATAATAACTTTGTTGTTCCAAAAACTAAATTAAAACTAAGTTTTTACCAAATCCAATACCGTTTTTATTAAAACATTTTTTAAAAGTTTATTTCAAAAAATAATAATGTTGAAAACACATCTTTTGAACTTTACAGGAAAGAATTTAAGTCTCTCATTACAAAAAGACTTTTATTTAAAATATCTCTTTTAAAATAAATACATAAATAATATAAATTATCTAAAAAAAAAGCTATTGAAACTTCTCTTCTGTTGCAATTTTTATTTCAACACGTGTAACTAATTTTCATTTTCATATATTTTTCATTTTCACTATTTCTAATTTTTATTATATATGTTTTTTTCATTTAAATTTTTATATATAAACTGACGATTTTTCAATGTAAATGGGGCTCGATGATAAGACAGTTTATGTCTTCTGGAGCAAGCAAAACATAAACTTTCTTAATAGTTTTCTAATTTTGTTAATACTATATACATTTGTCATTTATGATATACGCATTCGAATGGAATTCTATTCGATTGTTCGTGTAAATTAAATAGGGGAAAGTATGGCCTCATGTAACATTATTGATTTTTGATTCATAACTGTTTTTTTGTCGCGATTTTTTTGAAGCGATAAGTGCAATTTGTCGATTAAACTTATATCTACCAAATTAAATTAATGAGTTACCAAAGTATACCAGGTTAAACTTGTGAGACTAAAAAAATAAACTTGTGAGACTTAAAAAAACTTAAACTTGTGAAACTTAAAAAAAATTAGAGGTTTGTATTAAGGTATCCTACCCATGGGGTACATTAGAACAACCTATGAGAACCATTAAAAAAATTGAATAAAAAGTATAAAGATGAGAAAAAAAGGTCTATTTTTACTTGAAAAAATTAATTATAATGACCCAAATAATGCATCCTCGTTATCAAAATAATCATCCTTATTTGCCATATTTGTTAATGGAAAACAATCGCCTAAAAGTTAATGTTATTTTTTTTTCTTAATTTTTTAAAAAATGGAGCAAAGAGCTAATGGAATGTAGTTTACAAAATAATGGTACTTATTGATAGACACATTAAACAACATACCTTAAAATTTAGCAACTTTAAAAACTAATTAACTACTTTGTCATCAAAAAAACACAAAACTGGGCCAAACTTGGCCTAGTTTTGAGCTAGAATTCCAAAAATGATTTTAGGAATTCTAGCACTGTTTTCTTGTAAACTAGTTTCTTATGAAAATAAAAAAGCTGTTGGCGTTAAATGCTGTTGGCGTTAAATGACTAAACAAATGCAGCACTATCATACGGCATAATATTATGCTTGATTGGCCCAACAATAACAAATGCTGTACTGCTCGCGGGACTTCGTAATAATGTAAAAACCCTAATATATACTTTCACGACTTTCCAGTTACGGACTATGCGCAAACAGCAATAACAAACACATTAAGTTCCTTTATAAAATGATTCACAGCCTCTTCCTTATAAATACAACTGGGTATGAATTTTGGTTGATTTTTTGTATTTACAGCCATGAATTATTTATAATGAATCTTATACCAATATATATAGTTAATGCTACAATGATATAGGTTTAAATATTCTATAGCCGATATTTTTTTTTAGTTTTTATAAATATGTATATATATATATGTATATATATATATATATATATATATATATATATATATATATATATATATATATATATATATATATATATATATATATATATATATATATATATATATATATATATATATATATATATATATATATATATATATATATATATATATATATATATATATATATATATATATATATATATATATATATATATATATATATATATATATATATATATAAACATACATACATACATACATACATACATACATACATACATACATACATACATACATACATACATACATACATACATACATACATACATATATATATATATATATATATATATATATATATATATATATATATATATATATATATATATATATATATATATATATATATATATATATAATATATATATACATGTATATATTGCTCATAAAATAACAAAAAAAATTTTTTTTATTTAAGTAAAATAATAAAGTCAAAACTTGTTACTTCGTTATATACAAAATAAAAAATTCATTTTTGCTCAATATAATTGTTAATAGACTTCTCTTCTACATTTTTTTACACCTGATCATAGTAAAGAATTTTATGTTGATTAAAATTGATATAGAACCGGTCAAAGCTTAAATGTTTTCATTTAAGTGTAAAAGTAATCTAAAATAAAGTATCATTAAATTAATATGTTTTAACTATTATTTTTCTTAGTGTCTTACTTGCAACAAAGTTTTATGTATGTAAAATATTTGCAGTGCTTCGTAAATTTTCTTCGAAAAACAAACTAAAAGGGGTACTACTAGGGGCATAGTGGTAATTGAAGTTGAAACTTTTTGTTTACAAATTAATTGCTCTACCTCTACACTAATCCCACATCCTGATATTAGTTCATCTTGCATAATTATTTTTTGCATTTTGCATCTTGCATAATTATTTTTTGTATCGTCTTCATAACCATGTTTTCAAATCTTGTAAATATTTATCCAATAGTTATATTTGTTTACTTTATCTAAAAATTAAACATAAAGATTAAAAAATATTGCAGAATATTTGTTTAAGCTCCAAAAAAAGAAATTAAAATCACAATTTATCTCAAGTTAGTTGTTCTAGTAATTCTAGTAATATCAAGGTTTTAAATTAGCCATTGTTGTGATATTTTGAAAGTTCAGAATATGGCTAAATATACGATACTTCTAGTATTTCTGTTTTCCTGGGGTTTTTTCATGTTTATTTTTTCTGTTTAAGTAAATTAACCTTATGTGACTTTCAATATCACTTAAGGAAGGTAATTGTAAGTAATGAGCTTAAAAGGTGTTAATACTCAAAATCTAGCAAAGTTGAACTATGGTTTCTAGACAACTAAATGTGTAACCATGCGAATCAAGAACTGTAAAAATTTACCCAGAATTACCAGAAAAATTACCAAGAATTGTTGGTTATATTCAAAATTTGCCCACTCAAAATAGTAATTGTACTGCATGTGAAAATCACAAAAAATTGGCCATATTTCAAGACTCAATATATTTGAAATAAAAAGAACTTTAAAAAATAGAAAATATTTATCAACTTTCTACCAAGTATGTTAAACAGTAGTTAAGTTTCATTAAATTTTCAACAAAGTTAAAATAACGACAATTTGAAGACATAACTCACAGACTTTGCTGGAATTTTTTAGACAATTCTTTTAAGTAAGCTTCAAATGGTAAAAAAACTGGAATCAAATAAGCTTGACAATTTAAATTCACCTAAGCAATTAACCAATAAGTTAATTAGTATAACTATTTTAAAAACATTGTTTTTTCAAATGCCACAAAATCGCAACTTTGTTGGCTCAAAATTTTTTTCTTTTTTAAAGTAAGAAAGATTATTTAAATTTTTAAAATAATTTTTCTTACTTCAAAAAATATAAGTTATAAAATTTTTTTTTATATTTTTTGTTTTGTACTATTGTTTTGTTTTTCTTTCCTACTTTATTTAACTTTCTTTTTTTTTTACTTTTATTTTATTAACTGGTTTGTTATTTATAACTTCATATAAAATATGCTCACAATACAAATAATATGGAATAATTTAATAAATACAAATAATTTGGAATAATTTTTTGTAGAATTAAAGATTATTATCAAATTAGGCACTTAACATTGATTTTCAGACATGTTTTAATATGGTTTCTAATCAACATAAAATTCACTATTAAAATCAATTATTAGTGGGGGGATAAAATTAAAAAAAACCTTTTACCAGCCTACTATAAAATCTACATTATTTTTTATCTACTTGAGGCAAATCATTAAATAAAATTAATACAAAAACTTTACAAAAATGACTGTTATCTTTTTAGTGAAATCTTTCTTGAGAAACATTGGAAAAGTGTGATTCCTCATTCTATTTGTGATTACTTTTTTGATGCTCAGAAAAAGGTACTTTAAAATTAATTTTATGTTGAATTGGTTGTAATAAAAAAGTGCTAACCAATTTTTTTTTAATGTTTATACCAGTATCGTGGTAACAATTTTTAAAAAATTACATTATTCTATTTTTAAGTACTGCAATATATATATATATATATATATATATATATATATATATATATATATATATATATATATCTGTGAAGAACTCAGAGTTTATTTGTACATATCAGTCAAGAACTCGGAGTTTATTTAAGGATACTGTTTTTTCCCCACAAACTACAAAGGTGGGTGGGGGGGGTGTTCTTAAGATCACCAAACCCATCTGTTTAATACCGGTGCCACACCAATGATTTATAATGTCACTTTTTTTGTACTCTCAGGGAATTAAGTGAAATATAATTTGACTTATTAAGCAAAAAAAAATTTTATTTTGTTTTATTGTAAAACAATTTGAATGAAAAAATTGAATGAAACCAATAAATTAGAAAAAATGTGGTAATTTAATAAGTTTAGTATTTTTTTGTTTTAACTTTTTTTTTTTTTTAATTTGATCTTACTTGTTTGGTTTCTTGAGTTTAAAGTTTTATGATGATAATGTTTTAATTAGAACAGTTTTGTTTATTCACTTCATTTTATTTTAAAAGTTTTACGTTATTAATGTTATATACTGTATTAAAGAATAAGAATAAAAGACGAATTAAAAGAAATATGTAACAATTTTGTTTTATTTTAACACAAACTCTTTATATTGACAAAACATCATTATAGTATTGCTATACTGTTGCTTTATAGCTTTTTTCAATAACAATTTAATATACTTTAAAAATAAAGTATGAAGGGGTTAAATAGTTTTATATAACTTAGTATCCTTATACTAATATATAATATATAAGATTTTCTTGTGTTAATACTATCTTCAGCTCACCTTGTTTAGTTTTATCTAAAAATAAATTTTAATTAGAAGATTGTTTGAATGAATGAATGAATTTGATACTTTGATTTTGTACGTCCCTTTTGAATACTGTTTCATAAAGTTTAAACAATTATTTACACAACGATTATTTAAATTTTTAACAAAACTTTTATAATTTTTTAAATAGCTAAAACGACTTTATAATTGATGACTATCCATAGTTTAGTTGACAATCATAAATGATGACTACCCATAGTTTAGTTAATTATAATATTTCCATACTATATACAACACTATATATAGTATGGAAAATTTTTGAATATTTAAATTTTTAAATACTTAAGTATTTTAAAATTAAAAGTTTTAAAATACTTGGAAAAAGTTGTCAAATTTTTTTACTTTGATATTCGTATTTTTGTTTATCTAATTTTTATCATTAAATAAATTTGTATGTATAAATTTTAAATAAATTTATAGTGATTTTAAAATTGTTTTAAATATGATATTTAAGGTTTTAAAATGTAGTAAAAATAAGTAAAAAAACTTATTTAAATCAATAGCTTTTAAATAAGAAAGTTTTCAATAGCTTGATAGCTTTTAAATTAGTAAATTACTTGGCTCGCCAATTTCTGTTGAATAGAGTGTTATTTGAAAGAACGTTCGTTACAATATGCTATTTTAGAATTAATTTAAATAAGCAAAAAAAAGGCATTTATAGGAGCAAAGTGAAATTTGTTCACTGCACGAGGGGAGCAAGTAAATTTATTTGATGCATTCAAATATCTAGTATACAGGTATTTAAATAAAAATATATATTTAAATACAAAAATTAGTTTTTTTTTAATTTACAAATACAATATTTATGAAAATTTTTTATTTGTAAATTAAAAAAAAAATTATTTTTGTATTTATAAATATTGTTTTTGTAAATTAAACTTTTGCATTCTTAAATATAATGGAAAAATGTAAAAATTTATGTATATTTAATTATCTTTTTTTATGTTTTATGCAAATGTAACATAAATGATGTGTTTCATTGCAAGTTTCACTTTTGATTTTTTTGTTGTTGTTATTTTTGGTGTACTTAACCTGCAAATTTAGTTTACCGAAAGTATTATTAATTCCAATAATATAAAAGTGTTAATAACTTATATTAAAGTACATTATTTATTAATATGTAAAGATTTTTTATATGTGCCTAACTCAAGATAAACAGTAAAAATGTAAATTAAGAGTGTTTTAATAGTATAATAAAAATAAAATTAAAAAAATTAATTTATTAAAAAATCTAAACTTGAGAACTGACGGCAATTAAAAAATAAGTTTTTTTAATTTTTGAATAAATGATTTTGCTTGTTAATGACAATACCTTTTTTTACACGATCAACTTAATTCATATCTTTTTGTGCGTACTAATTACCTTTTCTATAAGTAAACTGCCATCTTACAAATCATATAAGTTTGTTGTAAATTCTGTTTAAAAAAAAATTTCCTATGATGCAGTTATTTTGAAGGATATTAAAGAATTCAATGTTCAATGCATGCATAATTTGATTCCAGCTGCTGAAAAGTTATTTAAAAGATTTCCTCTTCCATGCTTTTTAACGTGAGTACTTGTTTGTTGCCAAATTTTAATGTTCAGATCACGCCTGAAAAAAGTAGGATTCAAATCCAAACTTTGCAGGCCTTGTTTTAAATAAAAAAAGTGCTTAACGCATTAGCTTAACGCGATATTTGACGTCATAAAGTTATCTTTATTTTTTTTTATAGACGTTAAGTGTTTTAACTACCGCAATAAATAAATAACCGCTAACTAGTTCAATATAACAATTAACTCAAATAACTATTAACGTTTTAAATGTAAATTTATAATAAAAAGTTTGTTATCTTATTATTAATTTTAGTTCAATATTATTTAGTAAAAAAATATATATATATATTTTAATTATTTCTGAAATTTGTTTTTGAATAATTATTGTTTATAAATCGTTATTGAATAAAAGATAATGATTTTTTTTTATTTTTAAAAATTTCTGGAGTAAACAAAAAATATTAACATTGATAAACAAAAAACTATGTTAATTATTTAAACAGCGATTTTGTTTTGACTAACAAAGAATAATTTAGGAAAGAATATTTTTTTAAATTTATCTTGCTTAGCGTTTCAACTTGCGTTATATAAAAATATAAAAATGTTTTGTCTGCTTTTAGCATATTTTTGATACATAGTTTAGAACGCGTTCGCCAGGAATTTAATTCATAAATTTTTTATGTTATTGTAAAAATGTTTTACATTTTAAACAAATCACAAAGAAACAGAGCTATAGAGAAATATCGTTTTTAACGATTAAATCTTTTTTTTTTAAATTTTAGGAAATTAAAAAAAAATTAAATTAAATATAAAAGTCTTAATTATGCAAACTCTTTTGTTAATTATTCTTAAAACAAAAAACAAATACTTCTCCGCAAAACTTTAATCGTGCAAACTTAAAAAAATACTCAACTAAAATAATATAAGTATATTTAATAATTTGAATCGTATCTGTTTATAATGAACGTTTGTAAAAATTTGTTTATTAAAAATTAAGTTCCTTAACTTATAAACAAACTCAAAAGTATTTTCATTCTACGTATAATTACAAAAAAATAAAAACTCTTTTTTTTCTTCGTTTGTAAGCAATTTAACTTGATAAAATAAAAAAAGAATAAATATGAGGTAATCTTTGTTAAGAACAAATTTAATTTATTTATTAAACTATATTTTTATTTTTATTTATATATCAACTTAAATTAAATATAGTAACATGTTAAAATATTTTAACATGACTTGTGTTATTTATAAACCGTAGGGCAGCTGCCCTAATGGCACAATTGTTTTAGGATTATATTTTATTTTGATGAAGATCACATAACTTACATTTAATTTTAATAACGTAAGTCTTCTCTTTTTCTGTGATCATCGCATCGGCAAAGTCCCAAGATTTAAAAGTTTTTAAAGGAAATCTTTTGTCCTTCAAAATACAATCCATATTCGAACTTTAAACAATTTAGAGAGAATAGAAATATAAAAGGTTTTTATATACTAGTTTGTCTTGTTTTATAAAGAAAAATACATATTCATTAATAAAAAATAGAGACTGTCATTAAACTAAAACGTGCCTTAGTACTTATTTAACGGAATCTGTAATGTGCGCGTGCATAATAAAACCTCCGTTATATAAATATATTCAACGTAATATTAGTGTCATCAGCGGATGTTGTAGTCTACTCATGATTTCTTTACCTTATATTATAACTTGATTTATGAAAAAAAAAACTTATTGATTCGCACGCAGAAGAATTTTAACAAATTGTCTTCATTCAAATATTGCGAGTAACAGGTAATTTTTTTTTTCTGTGCCGACCCTCTCCCCCCGCATAACTTAAACTATATACTAATAAACTAATAAGAAAAGCTATATACTATTAAACTAACTATAAGCTATATACTATTAAACTAATAAGAAAAGCAAAGACATTTTTTTTAACATCTCGAAAAAATGTCTTGATATTTTTGTTATCATGATAACAAAATATTAAGACATTTTTTGAGATTTTATTAAAAAAAAATGTCAATTCTTAATTACAATTTTTTTTGCAAATGTTTTTTATTATAAATTCAGTAAAAAATTCATAAAAAATCTATATTACAAAAAACTTTTATATTCTGTATTAATAAATATGGAATATAGATTTTTTGAAAGTTTTTTACTAAAAACTCTAAAAAATTACTACTTTTTATTAAAAACATTGCAAAAAATTTGTAGTTAAGGATTGACAAACAATTTTTCATGTTGCTAAATATTTGGATAAAAAGTTTAGCGTCAAATTAATTGCTATAAAAAGGAAAGATATATCGCGATGAAAAGTTACAACAATTATTTTTAAAGTAAATTCTTTTTTTTAATAAATACCTTTACATATTGTTATTTAAAAGTTAATGTGGTTTTTTTGAAAATTAATTACTTCTTTTATGTTACCGCTAATTTAAAAGATAAAAAATGATAAAAAGTAGCTTAACCAAAACAGCTCTACGCATACGTAAAAATCGCATAAGGCGTACGTAAATCGCTCTAGGCATAACGCTTTGAAACAACGCCTGCATTGCTATTTTTATTGCAAATCAAAACATTGATTATCTTAAGTATGGAACAAGCCGAAAAAGAAAACAATATATCATTGGTCAGCAAAGCAAATGCGTTAAAATGGAAAATTGAGGAGAAAATGAAAGACATTGCTAGGTTGCATTATTGATATTGGAAGAAAAGAGTAAGAAACTGAATTAACAACTGCTTTTTGGCAGTTTAGTTTTGCATTGGCATTGCCAAAGTTTAACCTGAATTTTGCAGGCTTTATACCTGAGCAGAACATATTTGAACAGTGTTGATCTAAACCAGCAGAAGTTGTAAAAAAAAATGAACTAAGAAAAAAATAGAAAGTACAAAAGAAGAAAAAAATATTTAAAAAAGTTAAAAAGTTTTTTTTTTTTTAACATACTTGTTTTTAACAAGGCTGCAAGCAATCACTAATATTTGGAAGTTACTGGAAGAGAAAAGATAAAGTTTATAGAGCAAGATAACAATTGGCAGACAACTTAAAAGATTGCAAATGTGAATCAGGAAAGCAAGATGAAGGAAGCTAATTTCAAAGAACTGATGTTTGAGAAAAAAAACTAGACGATCAAGAGTTTTTGGAGCACTTAGGAAAAGTCACAAAAAAAGGATTAGGCTTGATTGAATGATGAGTAACATGAGAATATGTTTTTGTAGATGGCACAAGAGATGCTATCTCTTTAGAGCAGTGCCCATTATATTATTTGTAGAAAAAAGAAAGAGAAGCAACATTACGATAATGTGATAATTCTTGGAGGTTGGCTGGAAGAGCAGGTCCAACTATGTTTACAACACGTTTTGCACATTGCCTAAAAGAGAAAGGAAAACATTGGAAGATCCACCCGAGATATGGCAACAGTATTCCATAAAAGGACAGATTTGAGATTTATAGAGATAAAGAATAGAATCCGGAGTAAGAAAGTGTTGAGCACAATAAAGATATGCAACCTTAGCATATGCTAATTTTCCAGTGAATTAGATATATGGTTTCCAAGAAAGATTGGAAGTAAGAGTTAATTTTAGAAGATTAAGAGTAGATGACTTGTGAAGTACATCACCATTCATAAATATAGGATCTATATTATTGCGGTAACGATTGGCTAAAAAAAATTGGGTTTTATCTGAATTAAAGTTCACCAGCCACTGTGAGCCTCATTCTTTAGCAGAAGTGAGATCTTTTTTAAGCTCAAATGCCCCCTCCGAGCAATTAGAGAGTCTTGGTTTTTTTATCATGGCAAGAATAAATTGTAGTATCATCAGCAAACAATGCCACTTTGTATGTAAGAATATTTGGAAGATCATTAATGTAAATTAAAATGAGTATAGGGCCAAGGATAGAACCTTGTCGAACCCCTGAAGAAGAGTGCTGTTCATCAAGGACAAATTTTATACTACGATTGAAAAAATGAAAGAACAAAGAGTTTTTTTTTAAAAAAGCAAACATTTGAGCATTTTTATGTTCATAGTTTTGTTAAAGGTTTTTTGTTGTCTTAATTTGGAAGTCAGCTATAAGTATTACTTAGTTATGTAACTTGAAGATTTAATTAAAAGATGAAAAAAAAATTATTTCATATTTTAAGGTTTTTTTTTTTTTTAATTTTTTTTTAATTTTTTTGTAAAATGTTATAATGTCATACATACTACTACATTTTTATGTATAAGAAATACTAATTTGCTCTGCAGGCTTTACTTGTCAAAATGAACTATAGTGCTCAGGAAATACAAAAATTAGGAGCTCAAGAAAAATAAAAAATAAACACTTTTGATAAATGTTTTTTTTTTTCTTCTTCTGAATGAACTGAATTTAATATCTTTATAAATAAACAAGTTTTTTTCAATTTTTTTTGGCAGGTATCTGATCCTAATGATGTTCCACCTGTTATAGTTACTCCTCATCATTATTTGATAAGCATCTTTAGAAATAACATTTACTTTGTCACTGTAACACAAAGTGAAGGTAAGTTACTTTGCATTTTTATTCAAAATTATTATTTTTGTTGTAATTATTAATTGTTTTTGTTGTTATTGTTGTTATATGTTAATTAACAACATTAACATATAAATAAAACATTTAAAGACTAGTATTTTATTAAATCAAAAATTGTATGATATTGCTGACATAAACTGTTAAAAATTTGTGTTATAATATGAAAATCAGCAGATTGATAATATATTAATTATATACAAAAACTTATAAAACAAAAAATTGATTACAAAATAAAAAGTATGCTAACAACAATGGAAGGCCTCAGAATGGAAAAAAAATATTAATTCTAATGTGTAAACATAACTTGTGTAGTGATTAAGTAATTAACATCTTCTCAGAGTCGCGTCTATTAATACTGGCGTTTCGAATAGGATCAGCACTTTAAACTAACACTTATAATGTAATTATAAGTGTTAAAATAATTATCCTAACTAACTAAACAAATTAAAATAATTTTTAAATCAACAAAACAACAATAGTCTTCAATAAACTCTAACGTTGTCATAGATACCTCATTCGAAATATGAAAACCAATCAAAAGAAAATGAACAACCCGCGCAACCCAAAGTTATAACAATAATTAAATAATCTATGGTAGCAAAAAAAAAACGTCACACAAAAACCATTAAAAATGTCACCCGCATAAATGTAAACATGTAGTGAAGAATATAAAACAAAAATTTTCTAATTAATAATAAAAGATGAAAATTGTGCATGTGACAATTAAAACAAAGCTGAGTATTAAATGCAAGACAAAATGCAAAATAAAGCTGAGTATTAAATGCAAGATAAAAAATTCCTTGTTAGCAGTGATAACATGAAAATCAGCAGATAAATAGTATATTAATAAATATAAATAATATGTTACTAAATATTGTAATAAGACTAACTAAATACTGTAATAAAAGCAGATAAATTTAAGTCAAATGAGTGGTTAAAAATTTGTTTTGGGTGATATAGCAATGATTTAAGTCGTGATATAAAAATGATGTACGAAGCGGGAAAAAATATTGTTAAGAAGTAAAGTTTTCTCTACAGTCCAAATTAAAAGTAACTTTGAGATATCTAAATCGAAATTTCCAAAAAGTAAAATTTTCTCTACGGTCTGAATTAAATGTAATTTTGAGTCCATAACAAATTAACAAGTAAAAAACAGACATCAACAAAACATGTAGAAAGCCACTAGTTTATAAGAATTGCTCTTACATATATATATATATATATATATATATATATATATATATATATATATATATATATATATATATATATATATATATATATATATATATATATATATATAACAAAAAGCATGCAAACGATGTAAACAGGCTGTATGTGCATAAGGGTGTATAGGTGTAATGTGTAAGTCTGTGCTGTTTATATCGTTCAGTAGAGTCTTGTCTTGTTAGTAACCAGCGTAAATTAAGATTATTCTGAACATTAGTTCAGAACCTTGTTAATAACACTATAACTGGTCTTTTCCAAGCAACAATATCAATCTTCTTTATGATATATCAATCTCCTGAGAAAATTTTTTTTTTTAGCAATTGAGTGGACAAAATTAACTGCATTTATTCATTCTTCCAACTTTACATTTACTTTGTTTTCTGCAACAAGCCACAACCCTCAGATTTAGGATCGGCATTCAGTGATGCCAACCTAAAAGTGTTTGAGGTCGGCAAAAAATTGCCGACCTCGTTTCTATGTTTTATTGTAAAGCCATGTGTCAAATTTGTTTTGCTGACATTATGCCAACCATTAACAAATTAAAGTCGGCAATATATTCCCCACCTCATCTTTGCTGATTTTGAGGGTTATATATATATATATATATATATATATATATATATATATATATATATATATATATATATATATATATATATATATATATATATATATATATATATATATATATATACTATAGCATAATTAGATAATCATATGCTTGCTAGTTTTGCTTATCTCAATAGCATATGGCTTTTTCAGAAAACCAAGAAATAAATGAAGAATAATAAAAGAAAAATTGCTACCTTATGCCAAACTATCAGTTGATGTAGTGGCACTCCTTTGCGACAGCTGTCTATAAGATGTATGTACTGAAGCCCTCGGAAGCATACTGTGTGATGTCACAATGCTTATTTAAACACACATTTATAATTATAAATATACACACACACACACACACACACAGACATACATTTTAAATCAGACCAATAAAAAACATTTAAATTTTTTTACTTCAATTGTTTTTTAATAATTTTTATTAATTTATTCAATCTATTTTTATTTAAGTATAATAATAACTCCTATTTAAATTAGTGTTAATATATTGATTTAATATTTATATTTATTTATAATTTTTTTTCTTTTTATATTATATTTATATTTATTTAGTTTATAATATTAATATATGTCATATATTGTATAATATGTCATATATTGTGCAATATTTTTTTTTTATATATATATTTATTTTAATATTTTTATCCAACTAAGTAAATTTTTTGCTTTAACCCTAATTCTGGGTTGAGCATTAATTTCATTAAATTTGCTTTTATTACAAATTATATAATAAATAAAAATATATTATAATAACTCTAATTTTACTCCGAGTTTCTTTTTTTCAAGACATTTAAAAAAATAGTTTAATCATTCATTTATAATTACTAGTTAGTTTTAAATTATAAAATCGTTATTACTAGTAATTTTTAGTTTGAATTAAATTACAGTAAAAAAATGAAATAAAGATAAAATCTGTTATAGGTCATTCAGGCTTGGTCGGGAAGCGGGAGTGATCGCTCTTGATTGCTGACCACATAAATAATATTTAGTTGCGAAAAGCTGGCCAGATTTTTTAGTCGTTTTGAGAACATTTTAAAAAACAAAAAAAAAAGCGCCAAAGATTAATTGGACTGATGAGAGACAATTACAAAAAAAAAAAAAAAAAATTAGGCAAATAAAATATCTTTAAACACGAAAAAACTTAAAGCTAAATAAATTACGTTTAGAGCATATATTTTCGAAACATTGCTCTTTTATATTTTTTTTATAAAATTAAGCGATGTTTTTTATATAAAGTAACAATTACGATTGTTTAAAAAGGAAACAAATGCTCTTTATTTAGCAAAGTTTGCAAGTTTTAGTTTTATTTAAGCTAAATTATTTTATAAATAAAAATGTTAATTTTTTCAATACCTTTTTTTTTTTCGCGTAGTTTGAAAAGTTTAACATATTTGAATAAACAAATGAAATAATTAAATCATTGAATTACTATAGAAATTAAATTAACAAGATAGAAATCAACTGAAAAATTTAAAAATACTTTATGACGAGGAAGTAAAACTGCTTCACAATATTGCTGATGATGTTTAGTGAGTGGGCTTTTTAATTTTAATTAGTATTTAAAACAGAAAAAAGTATAACGAGTTTCAAGAATGGCAACTTAAGCGAAAACAATTAGAGTTAGTAAACCAATATGTAGAAACTTTTCTTTATATCTAATTATTTGCTATAAATATTTGTGTTCTGTCGTGACATCAGGCGCGGTGCTTGTTTATCCGCGAGATACTTTGTATGTGTTGTTTGTGTTTAGTAACCAGAAACTTCTTATATGTTTGTTACATAATTAGTTTTATTAACTATAACGATTATAACTTCATTGAAAACGCAATTATTTTTGTAAGTCTTTGCTTAAATCATAAAAATTGCTTTAAAAGATACATTATGATAAAAAACAGATACACAAAATTACATTTACATAAAGATTACATACTTTTTAAATAAAAAATAAGAATATACTATAAAATTTATAATTTATAATAAACTTTTGAAATTTTGACATTTTAATATATATTTAAAATATTTATTTTTGTAAACAAATAATATATATTTTTAAAACAAGAAAATTAAATTTTTTTTTTTTTTTTATTTGCATTCACTCCCAACAAGGCTGCAAGCAACCACTATTAAGTTGGGAGTTACTAGGAAAAAAAAGAACAGAGTTATAGAGCAAGGAAACGGTTGACAGAAGACTTGAAAAGTTGAAGGTTGTAGGAGTCAGGAAAACATGAAGATGGGAGAGAGTTCCAAAGGAATTAAGTGCGGGGAAAAAAACTAGATGAATAAAAGTTTTTAGAGCATGCAGGGACAGATACAGTAAACGAATGAGACTTAGCTGAATGACGAGTAAAACGAGAATGAATTTTAGTTGATGGAACTAGAGATGATAACTCCTTTGAGCAGTGACCATGATAGTATTTGTAGAAAAGAGAAAGAGATGCAACTTTACGACGATGGGAAAGAGGTTCAAGCTTAGCAGATAGTCCAGGTCCAACAACATTTACAATGCGTTTTTGGACCTTGTCAAGAAGAGAAAGTGAATCGTTAGAAGAACCAGCCCAAATATGACAACAGTATTCCATACAGGGACGAATAAGAGATTTGTAGAGGTAGAGAATGGAATCAGAAGTGAGGAAATGGCGAGCACGATAAAGAGAAGCAACCTTAGCATAAGCTAATTTAGCAATCGATTGTATATATGGTTTCCATGAAAGGTCAGTAGTAAGCAATAATCCAAGAAGACGTAAAGAGGAGGACTCAGTAAGAGGATTGCCATTCGTTAATATAGGAATGTTGACCATATCAGGCCTTGCGATAAAGCGTCGGGCGATGGGAATTTGACGTCGTTTAAGAGCGATTTTGCGTGTAGCTAGGGCTATTTGCGTCGAGCAAAAAATTTTTTGTTTGAATATATTTAAAGATATTTTTGAGCGGAATTTTAATGAAGTAATTTACGATTATTTTAACATTTAATAAAGTATTTTAAAAACCGCACGCAGTTGAAATAAAAGTTTGAATTAAAAAAAGTTAAATATGCTCATTATTTACAAGTAGAAAAAATTCAGATTAAAGAAAAATCTTATAAGCTAACATTTTAATAAAATTATTCAGCAATAGCAAAGTTG